GGGTTCCTCTTTCCCCACAGCCCTGCCAGCATTTGTTATTGGTTGATTTCATGATAGCCATTCTTTCTGGAGTGAAGTGGAATCTCAGCGGTGTTTTCATTTGCATCTCTCGAATGACCTCACTTGTCAGGTTTTAATGAATCCCCATAATGACCTGTGCCCTTGCAACTGCCAGTGGTGACCAATGAGGTGGTTTTTTGTTGTGCACTTGTGGTTTTGAACACATCTCAAACAACCCATGAGTTGGTGGGATGTGTACTCAAGTTGCATCTCTGCCTTTGTCTGGTATTGTGCCCTTGGGAGAGTTACTTAGTCCTCCTGAACCTCAGTTTTGTTATTCCTAAAACAGATTGGTAACACCCTGCTCCACAGGGACTTCAGGTGGACACAATGTGAGGACACTTGATTCCTTGGGCCAGTGCCTGGAACATAGTAAGTGCTCAGCAAAGAACAGCCACAGGGAATTTACCATCAAAATGACAAGGAAGCTTCGAGTACATAATTAATGTCCCTGCTTGGTATTGACCTTCAAGACCTTTTTGTTCTGTGGCAGAAAATATGAACATTTATAGCACATTTAAACCAAGGACCGAATGACAGGGTGGCAGCCCTGCCTGCATGTTCAATGGGGATAGAATCAGTGCTGCTGTTTGGTGGTTGCTATTTTTTGAATTTTTTTAAAAAGCCAGACTGAAACCAGAAATGCTGTGAGTTCTTTCCCAGGTGTAGATGCTGAGGGAGAGAGCAGGTCTGAACCCAGATCCCAAACACTGTCCCTAATGAGGTGGGAATGGTATCCTGGCAGGAGGAGTGTCCAGGGCAATCCCGTACCTTCAAAAATTATCAGCCGCTAGGATCAGCCTTGGAAAGTGGGGACAAGGGGAGACCTTCATCCAAGTAGCCAAACACAGGAGTTTGATTTGCTTTGGCCACGCTGCTCATGGCTCTTCCGTCCCTCCCTCTGTGGCATCTCGGGGTAAGTGACGGAAGCACTCATTACACATGCTTAAGCAGGCCTAGTCTAAGTAAACATATTATACGTAGTCAATAGAAATGTGTTCAGTCATGCTAATGAACACAGAGAAAGTACACAGCACTTTACTAAAACAAACAGTCTTCCCATTTTTAAGTGCTATATAGATGGCAATAAACTGTATTCTAAATTAATTACAGGAGTCTCATCTTTTTGGCTGACTGTAAGAAGACAGAGCCTTACATACTCTCCCACGACACAGGGCTGACCATAAGGCTCTCCCGGGAAATGGCCCTGTGACCAGAATGAAGAGGTTCCCCCCAGCTCATATGATATGTCCATCGACAGATACAGCCAGTGCAGCCCCAGACATGGGGGGTCCCAAACAGAACCACTGGTCCCCAGGCCGCCAGACAGTGAGTGGACAGCCAGCGCTTAGCCTAGAGATGGGAGGAGCCTGTGGCTCTGCAGCGCCTCCATATAAGGACACCCCAAGTCCATTAGTTGTCAAAAATAAACATCAATCCACATTTTAAAACTATGAAAAGCATGAGGGAAAGCAGGAAAGGAATAAAAGTCTACAAGACAACTGTAGTTGATAAGCAGACAATGCATACTAAGAATAAGCAAAAGTAGCTAGCAAACACTTCTGAAAATGTTCAGTCTTGCTAAGAATGAAGTAAAAATTAAGCACAATTAAAACAGTAAAACTAAATACAAATTTGAAAACCTGTGCTGGTAGGTCTATGGATATCAGGCATGAACCTGTATCACTACTGGAAACGTAAACCCCCATTTCTGGATATCAGTTTGGCCACAGACAGCGATAAGCTTATCTTCATAGGGACCGGCAACAGGCAAGGCATGGTGTGAGGCAATACCTCAGGTGATTCAGAGATGAGGTAAACATAGATGGTCCTCAAAGAGAGAGATAAGTAACAAAGGCATGAAGAAAACATGTAACGGCTACAATGCAAGTGACCAGCAACATTAGGAGGCAGGTAATGTCCCCTCTCTTGACAGACAAGGAAACTGAGGCCCAGGAAGGTGACAGGATATACCCAAGTTTCCACAGTTTTAAGTGGCATAGCCAAACAAACACTAGGCAAGATGGACTCCAGAGTTCATGTTCCTCCAACCACACCAATGGGCAGTCTTTCCCGACACAGGGAAAGACAGGAAATCAAAGCACAGCTGAGCACTTCCTTGGCTTCTGTCACCGTAATTGCACATGGTCACTTCTGTCCCTCCTTGTGACAGAGGACAGCCATTTTGTCTGTCAGGTGACAGTGCAAGTCCTTGGCAGGCCTTGCTCATCCTAGACCATGTTCCCTGAAGGCAGGGCCAGCCTCTGTGCATCCCTCTCTTCTGAAGCTGGCAATGCCTGGCCCTGATTCTGTGAAGGGTGTGAGCTGCTTTCAAAGCAGACCAGGGACTGTTTCATGCGGTGACGCTCACTGACGCTTACCCTTGAAGGACATAGGGTGTAGGCAGTGTGAGAAGAGGGAAAGGCAGGGAAAACAGCAGACCAAATACCTGGAGTTGGAAGAGAAAGAAGTGCAAAGGCAGCACACAGAAGGCTGGGTCTGTGGAAGGTCCAGGGGTGTATTTGGTGAGCAAGGGTGGGGGCAGACTGTGGAGGACCTGGTAGCCTCAAGTACTCAGAAATGTGCCACAAGGAAGTCATTCAAAATCTCTCTATATCCAAATGGATCAATAGATTCAACATCATTCCTATCGAAATCCCAGCTGGTTTCTTTGCAGAAACTGATGAGCTAATCCCCAAATTCAGGTGGAAATTCAAGAGACTCAGAATAGCCAAAATGACTCTTGAAAAAGAACAAAGTGGGAAAAGTCATTCTTCCAATTTCAAAACTTGCTACAAAGCTACAATAATCAAGAATGTGTGTTACTTACACAAGGCAAGATATATAGATAGATGGATGAGAACTCCTAGTCCAGATATAACGCTTCCCACATATGGGCAATTGATACTCAACAAGGATGCTGAGAGTTCAATGCGGGAAAAGAAACAAATGCTGCTGGGAAAATAGGATATGTGAAAGGATAAAGGTGGAGTCTATCTTGCAAAAATTAACTAAAAAGGCATCGAAGACATAAGTGTAAGAGCTAAAACTACAAAACTCTTTAAAAAAATAAGCATAAAACGCAATAGATTAGGCCATAGTTTCTAATGTATGACACACAAAGGATAATCAACAAAGGAAAAACGTAGGTGGAACTCTGAAGAAGTTGGAGGTGGTGAAAAGAAAAGGTGAAAAGAAAACCAACAAAATGGGAGAAAATTTTTGTCAATCATGTAAGGGATTTCTAATTAAAATATGTATATTAAAATATTCTTACAACTCAATAATAAGACACCCATTTACAAAATGACCAAGGCATCAGAATAGACATTTCTTCAGAGGAGATACACAAATGCCAACCACACAGTGGCCACACGGAAATGCAAAGCAAAACCACAAGGCGATATCACTTCACACTCTTGAAGACAGAATCAAAATGGTGGACCTCACCACGTGTTGGTAAAGATGTGGGGAAATCAACAAGTCTCACAGCTGCTGGTGAAATGTGAAATGGTGTAGCTCCTTTGAAAAACAGTGTCACAGTCCCGCCAGAAGTGAAATATAAAGATAATACACAACCTGGTAATTCGGTGTGGTATATCCCCCCAGGGAACCAAAAATATGTGTCCATATGAAAACCTGCATGTGACTGATAAGAGCACCATTATTCATAGCAGCCAAAAAGTAGAAACAACCCAAATACTCATCAGTTGAATAATAACCAAAAAATGGCATACCCATAGAAAGTTACATTATTTGGCAACAAAAAAGAATGAAGTACATGCCACAACATGGACCAACCTTGAAAACATTATGCTAAGTGAAAGCAACCAGACACAAAAGACTACATATAGCATGTTTCCATTTATGGGAGATAAAAGTGGCTGGTGAAAGACTTTAGTACTTTTAGGAGTGTGTGTGTGTGTGTGTGTGTGTGTGTGTGTGTGTGTGTGTCTTCATGGCTAAACTGTTTAATCCCGGAGTACTTACTGTGCCTTGTTTTTCTCATATGTAAAATGGGTATAATAATATCATCTCTAAAGAGAGGTTTTCTGAAGACAACATGGTATCAAGTAGATAAACCATTTATCACAGGGGCTAGCACACAGAAAACACATGATATATATCATTTATTATGATTATTAGCTAATACAAATAATGACAGATAATGAAAAGCGACCCAATGTAAACAAAAGGATCTGCTTGCTTTATTAAAATAACAGTTACAGTGCGCGTCTGTGTAGATATGGAAAGTCGGTTCAGTGTGAAATGTAACAAAATAGCAAACAAAGGATGGTCCAGAGTGGGACCAGCTGTGGAAAGATAAAGCACATATGGCAAAGAACAAGATATGGAATTTCAAAAATAAACTATATGCCACAGAAAAAGGGCCTCTGTTTTTTATTCACTCTTCCACTGTTGTGATTATTCAAAGTTGGCTAACAAGTCACTAAAAATAAAACAAGTTATATCTCATGTGCATGAGGAAGCTCAAATACTGAGGCTTTCCAGCACTGTTCTGTCACACCATGGCCAGGACAGCAGGGTCGGAACCCCATGCACCCCAGGGTCCCAAAGCACCTTCTGCGTCGCCTGCAATTTGCTTCTGCTTGGTGCAGAACTGCTCAGTGATCAGGATACTCAGTCTGATTCAAATCCTGGGTGCTCCAACTTGCACTCTTTCTGTTCTCACTTTTCTTGTTTGCTCTATGGGCCCCAAATTGGCCCACTCTGGCACCTGTATTTGCTCTGCATCTTCTGATTTGTTTCCCTTTTGCTTCGGGGTCCTGTACCAAGCTTGGCTTCACCAACACCAGAGGATGGATGAAAGACGAGCTATCACCAGGTTCATGCTCCTTCCTGAGCTCCTTCACCTGGAAGTGCCTTCCAGGGGAAGGGGAACCTTTCTACTCATTTCCATGCCATGGCCCAGAACAGCCGCAAACCCTTGGAGAACCCAGGGGGATGGGCACCAGAAGTAGCGAGCTTTATTCAGGGGGCATGCAAGGCCTCTTGAAATGTTTCCAAAGGAAAACACCCATAAAATATATTTTAAAATATGTGGAGGAAGGAGACTGTCGTGTGATGAGCAGCACGAGGGGTGACTCACGTGTGTCCACCGTCTCCTGGATGGGGATGAAGCCCACAGGCAGCGTGTCCTTGATGTCAATGAGCTTCATGTCCACTAACACGTTCCCTAGATGACTCTTGGGAAGAAAGAAAAGAGATGCAGACTATTAATCTGAACACGCCCACAGTGAGTTTGCCATTCTGCCTGCAAGATGCATATTTAACACAATGACTCATGCAGCTTTACTACGAGGGCAGGTTAATTAGAGTAGGTGACACTTAGTGTTCCCCAGTGGTTACAGAGGGACTTGAGTGGCCCCAGGGAAGGACTTTCATCTGCAGAACCACAAAGCCACTCACTCAGATGTGGCCTTTGTGAGCTGGATAAACAACCCAGAAGATGCTGTAGACATAACCCAGCAGAGGGCAGCTGTGCACACATGTCCCCAGACCTGGCTGCCACTCAGCCCCGAGTGCCAGATCCCAGGGCCAGTAGGTTTTAGAAACAGCAGATTTCTGGGACACTTACAGGGGGGAGTTGCATCTAAACCAACAGGTACCAATCACACTCTTAAGTGATCACTGCTCTTCATCTTGACACACGTTTGGTGGCTAGATACGTTTTGCAAAGTCCCAAGAATCATAAACTAATGCAGAGTGAAAGCTGGGCTGCTTCAGTACTACACATCTTCTAAAACGACACGCACAAGGCCTCTTAAAGCTCCTATTTAGTGGCAGTATACGGGGTCCACGGTGCACAGTTTCCGTAACTGGTGTAAAAACATCTTTTGAAGACGGTACACTACCATTCTGTAATTGCAAGAGAGAATTCTTTGGGAGAACACCAGCACACTTGCAGCCTGCATTTCACATTGGAAACAGCCTGAAGAAATCCGCCCTATAATGTAAATACACGGGGCCACCATGGAGATTTCATTAACATCTTCAGAGTCGTCTGCAGCCTAGTTCTGCTGTCTCTAGTTGGAGCCAGTTAAGGAAAGAATGATAGATTCGGATTCCAAATCTCTCCTGTTAGGATATCAGTGCTGCGCTCTGCACGCCTATTCTCCAGAAGGGCCTCTTCCTGGCTCTCATGCTCGTCTGCATCCCTGCACAAACACCAGAGGGTCAGCCTGTCACTCTGCCCTTGAGGCCACCTCTCAGGTCACTGTTCCCACTCCTCAGAGATGGGCTCCTACCTCCATCTCTGTGCACGTGGCGCCAAGACCCCACCTCCCCCTGGGTGGTGCTGACAGCTCTGAGAGCAATCAGGGACTTCTCACCCTGTACACTAAGCCATCCTCTCTCTGGGCACGCCCTGGTTTCCTTCAAGTCAATGTATAATCATATATTTACAAGGCTGTTTGTTTAGTATCTGTCTCGGCACTAGAACTTAAGAAGCATGAGGACCCAAATTATCTCTGCTCCTACTGTAATACCAAGCCCGACACTGTTTTTGCCCCATGGTAGGTGCTCAATAATTATTTGCTGAATAAACTAATATTTTGGGTACATTTTTCAATGGGATGGTCTCTGAGAATCAGAAATCAAATCAGATTTGCTTATATGGCAAATCTAAAGCATATCACAAAAATCCTGAAAGCATGTTTAATAAATACATTATGAATCCAAAGCACACAAATGAGATAACTTCTTCAAATTGAAATATGAAGGTCAAAGTGGAAGCGTAACCTCCAGCCGTGTTTTCATGGCCCTGCCATCACAAAACTGTTTCCTTCTCCCAGGACTCTTGTATTTGCCAACAATTTCGTATTATCACATCTCAGGTGCTGGCTCTCAGGAAGACAAGGTACAGCACAGCGAGTGGAAAGTCAAAGTGGAGCCCTCCCCAACGTCGAATAAATCTCTGACCTCGCGGGAAGGGTCTGAACCGTTAACCTAACTGGCAAACATCAGCTGCTTTCACAATTGCCTGATCTAATCTATCATTTTTTTTTCATAGCAGTTGCTTTTCCATGTCATCAATGCTTTCTGCATTGAGAAATTAACAACTGGGCATGTTTTGCTGCCCCGTAGATGGATGGGCATTCATCAGTATCCTTCTCAAATGTCTTCTACTTGACAAGTTGGGTTTCACACAAGTCAACTGCAAACCACTTAGCAATCTCACCCTCCACACTCTCTACAAACGTCCCTGATCATAAAACCAGAACATCAGTGGTGCGGCCATTAAGAAAAGCATCGGCAAACCGTCCCGTGCATACAAAATGGGAGGCTGCACCGTCAAAGCTTCCCGCAGCCCAAGTGTGGCCCTCCTCGAGGGGGCTGCTGCTATACAGTTTAATCCAGTAGGTCTGCGACACCATTAATTTTGCTTGCTCCCCTCCCCTCCCCCACCCGTGCTCTCTTTCATTTCCTCCTCATAAATATGAAGAACGTATTCCCAATCCTTGTTGAGCAAATGATTCATGCCAAAAGCCCAATATGCACTGACTCAGGGTATTTATATTGTCTCTGGTAGCCAGTATTTGCTAGTATACTGTAATTATTTTTGACAACCTTGCATTTAAGGTAGCCACAGATAACCAACTTAATATTCAAATGTTCATAAATCCTTCTGTTTAATATCCTCCCTACCTAATCTATGTACATTATTATTACAGGTAATGCAGAAAGTACAGGGCATGAAAAGTGCAATTAATCTCGATCTTTCCCCAGGAAGCAATGTCACTCCAAAGCCAGGTTTCTGTATTAATAGCATTATTGGGGGAAAGGAATTTAGGTTTCAAACTCCTACGCTAGGAGTCTCAAGTTGCCTAATTAAGAGTCTGCCCAGTCTTGAGGTCCCACACCCTCCTGAACAACTGTAAAAATTATGTTCTGCAAAGCCTTGATTCAGACGACAGACCAGATGCCAAGGATGAAAAGGCGCCCTATTCCTGTCTCTCTCCTGGGCTTGCAAGCAGGCCCCTGCCACCCCTCTGATTTGACCCCAAATCAAATTCAACCCTTTGCCTTGATCGTTTGGATCCTGTACGGGACTCATCCATTCTTCTCTTCAAAAACACCTCCTTGCCACTCGGCTTGAGAGTGAGGCAGGGCAACTCCCACTGCCCTGCCCTTTTCCTTCTGCAATCCCTCCCTGCCACCCCACACAGGGCTGTTCTGCATCTACAAACTCGGACAGAATCAATGTGCTCTCTAGAGCACTGACTCAAGACACCCAAAACTAACCAGCCCCAGTGACCTCTCTGTTGTGTTGTTCTTATAACTCTCCTCACTCCTGGGAGACAGAACTAATACCCAACAGTCTTCGGGGGAAAATACAACAAAAACCAAAACCAAAAATGGTCAGAGATGGTGGCTGTCCTCCGAGGCTGTGAACTGAAGCCTCTCTGGCCAGCGAAGGCTGTGAAGACACCAGGAAGAAACATGCGGAAACCAAGAGAGGAGAGAGAGTGACAGGTGTCCTGGGAGTCCCTCCTCACGGCCCGAGCTGTGATGAGGACGCTGGACTCCCACAGGAAGCAGTGGCCAGTGGACAGGAAAGAGGTGACAAAAGATAAAAACAGAAGGGCTGTTAGTTTCAAAGAAGAGGTGAGGTAAGCCAGGACAAAAGGGCTGGGGGTGTCCTGCGGGGGTATGGGCAGGAAGGATGGGCAAGCCCAACATCCTGGAGGGCAACAGCACCATCAGACCTGTTCTTCGGTGTCTCCTCAGTCCGTGGTGTGCGCGGTGAGCTCGGGCACAGGCAAACACTGGAGCTCAGCCCCACCTTCCTGCTACTGTATTAAAAAGACTTCCTACACTTAGCACCTAGATTTTGCCTGATCCCACAAATGCTGCACTTCACAACAATTGCTCTGCAATTAGGTGGAAAAAATTAAAGCAATGACTTTTCTCCCAGTCTGGGCACATTAGGAATAATTCTCCTCACATAGTATCATCAACAAACCACAGGAATGGGTGGTGGAAGGGTGCAAGCCAGAGGTCCACGTTCAGCAAACATGGAGCGGACCTGTGACGGACCCTGGCAGGGGCCATGGTGGGGAGGAAGACATCTCCCCTTTCAGGCTTCTCAATAAGGATGTATGAAGCTGTTGTTTTGGTTTGGTTTTTTTCTCTTTTAATTTTTAAATTTTTAGTAGCCCATGTTTGCAGTACATAATGATTACATTCATTGAGGGAGCTGGTACACTGTACACAACATATCTTAATTTTCTTTGCTCTCCCTTCCTCTCCCCTCCCTGCCCCTTCCTCTATATCTCTTGGTCACCTTGGTTTTTTTTTTTTTTTTAAACCATAGATGTAACACATTTTAAGAACTGGTAAAAATATTTCAAACAATAAATATTTATACTAGAAAGAGATGAAAACATTTAAACCAAGAATAAAACATCTCCTTTGAAAATGAAAATCTGACTGTTCTCAATATATTTGGGGAAAGAGAAGACAAGTGACTTGGGCAAGGCTTAAACTCTCGAATCTCAGTGTTGTCCTTTATGGAAAGGGGGTAATGCTGGGAGCTACTGTCTAAGGAGAGACTGACTGACATCTGCAGAGTGCCCAGGGACGCCTATGCAGGGTGGGAGATCACTAAAGCTACTTCCTTTCTCTCTAGGCCACCCATTAAAATCCCTTGATAGGAAAGCCTTAGTGGATGTCTTTAAAGTTACCTAAATTGTGGGCCCAGGTACCAAAAACCAGCATACTAAGAAATGTGCACATATACTTACCTACAAAAATAATGAAATGTCTTGTCACATAGAGACAAAAAAAGAGAGGAAAAAAAAGTCCTCCTGGAAACAAGGCCAGGTTTGGGGCTAGGGGTGGGGAATGAGTGTGTGTGTGTGTGTGTGTGTGTGTGTGTGTGTGTGTGTGCGCGTGTGTGATGAGAGTCCTTTCATCGAGGCTGCCATTAGCTGGCTGGCATTAAATCCAGCTCCACTGGATGACTCTCACATCCATATTGGTCTGTGATTTGTCACTTGGAGGAAAGGTAGGCAAATGAGAGCTGGGAGAGAAATTTCCTGGTTTCCTTTTGAGAACACGTTAATGGAATTCACTGTACACTTGGGTACGTGGTTAATAATACTGTTAATAAATGAAACAGCGCTGGGTGCTGATTCTACTGAGTTCACTAAAACCATAGATAAATTAATAAGCCAATGAAAATAAACCACAACAAAAAAATGAGGAAATTCCAAGCAGGAGTGTAAATTACACCTGCTCATTCAGCAAATGGAAACTACCCCCAGACTTACATTTTCTCTGGAAAATGATCTTGTGAAACACAAGTATCTGGTAACCTTGGACTTGAATAAGCCGTCTTTCCAGAGGTCAGCATCCACACCATCTGCCGTCTGTGCGACCTGCACCAGGAGACAGAAGATCGCAGGTAAGACAAGATGGAACTGAAGGTGTGTGTGCCGCCCCTCTGTACCTGTTCCAATTAACACCGGCCGAACTCTCATGGCATCTCATTAGTTTGTTTCACCAGGCACACGGAAGTGAGTTTCCAAAAGGGAAAAAGGGAATGTGAAAAATACAACTTCTAAAAATATTGTCCCTGGGGAAGTCACTGATTAAAGACGTCCTGACAAAAATGGTCCTAATGAGAAAAGAGCAACTTTTGTTGAAATGGACCAAGAAGGGACTGGGAAGTCAGCACATCAGGTTGCTCATTACCACGCACTCGGGGGATGGCGCAGGTTGCATACGAAGGCCCAATGGGGTGTGAAATGCACCTGAGAGGCGCTGCCTGCGGGGGACTGACAAGGCCTCTGGCCTGCCAGGGGCTGTTGGGCACTTCCACCAAGGGGTTCAGGAGGAAGTGGTTCAGGAAAACTTGCTCCACACTGCATCTTCTTGCTATAAGTCCTGAAAGCAGAATTCGAGATCAGAAACTGCCTCATGACAGAACAATAAAAACACTCAGTTCTCTGTCTCTGGCCTCACTAGGAAGCCATTTTCTCACATTCAGCTGTGGAAATTCTCCTCCAGAAAATGTCCAAGGGTGAAGCCAGTTTTGATCCTCATGACTGGACTGGACTGGGGTGCTGGCATGATCATGTCCACACTGGGCTTGCTTGGGTGACTGGAGGGAGGCACAGAGGGCCAGAGGAGCCTGCTATTTTCTGCGCTCTCACTCAGCAGCCCAATGTGACAACATCACAGCACCAAGTGACAAGAGATCAGTCTTCCACACAGTGCCAGCCCCATAAAGGGAAGGCCAGACCCACGTTTCAGGACACATCAGAAGGGGTCTTCAACTGTCTGCTTTCCGGCTGCTTTGGGGTTGTCCTTTTGAGGCTTTCACTGGGTCCAGACCTTGATCTGACAAGCTGCTGGCCATTCTGACAAACTGCTGAGAGCGGCTCCACTCTTTGCCCAAGGCCACTGTGATCCAACTCCATCCTGTGTACACCAAACAGGGCACTGCACTGCACGTCAACAGCCTCTGACCCTGACATGCATGGTATGTGGCCACAGGGGCTCCCTGGGATACACATGGAGCCTATGCTCTCTGAGGCTGCCACAGAGAAGCTGAAAAAATAGCTAGCATAAGAAAAAAATGTTTGTTTTTCAAACAGAACAACAGTAAATTAACAAATACAAGGACCAGGAAAAGAGGCCCTTATGCTGAGTATGTAAATCTCTTTGACCTGAAAGCTGAAGGAGGATTGGTATGGGGATAATTTTAGGAGCTGTTTGCTCCAAGTATGCATGTTGTGACCCCCATGCCCCACAGGAAGGGGTGAGGCCCTACAAGAGGGTTTTCCCCATAACAGGACCACATCAAGATTCCAGGAAGGCGTGAATTGCAGGCTGTGGTCTCAGCCTCTGCTACCTTGCCTTCCCCCTGCGAGAGATGGACCCAGATGCCTCTGCCATCAGGCACACAAAGGTCTTCCTCCATGCTAACCATCTTCAAACAAATGGCACAGTGTGAAGAGGACCAGGAAGACTGGCTCAGGTAGGGCGCGGGGTGGAGAACCAAAGACCCAGCGAGGGAAAGACAGCATGGAATCCCAAGGCAGACCTGAACTGGAAGTCCTGTGTCCACCTGTGTAACGTGGACCTGCTGTCCTGCTGGGGTCACTGCTGGGCTAGAGGAGATGCTCCACGCACAAGCGCCCCACAAAGCACTTGCAAAGACAGCCCAGCGCTTCTAAGCTGAACACAAGGACATGTGGTCTGACATCAAACCAGGTATTCAGAGTGACGTCATGAGCGTCAGGATTCAGAAAGTCCGAAAATGTCCCACCCACAGTCCTCTGAGATGCCTTCTCCACCTCTGGTCTCGATCTGGTCTTCAAAGGCAAACAATACACGTGCGAGTGATGTTTCCCTCCCCCAGCCATCTGGCCTGGATTAGCAGCTTCACCAGGACTAGGCCGATGCCTCTTCTGCTTCCCATTTTATCCCCTGCACCAAGCACAGTACCTGACACAGGTGGGCTTGATCAGAGCAAAGTGTAAGAAGCCACATACTCTGTCAGCTACCCAGGTGTGGTAGTAAGAATGTTTTTAAATGTTCTTAAAGCTTCCAAGACTGAACCCAGTGAGCTGAGTGGAACACCTGGACTTCTTTAATAACCAGGCTCCCCTCCTTCCACTCCCAAACTGCCACTCTGTGAGGCACGCATCCATTTTTAAGCTTCTGGTTGGCTTGCCCGTCCCCTGCCTTGTTCCAACAATTTGCTATGTCTCACAGGGCAGCTGATCACAATGCCTCTAGAGCCTGTTAGGACACACTCTCTCTCTCTCTCTCTCTCTCTCTCTCGTTTGCACAACCTCTCTCTCTCTTTCCAGCCTTCCCAGGGTGCAGGTGTGGGTGGCCCAATAACCAGGGCAGTGGCAGACCTCTTCCATGCCAATATTCCTCTAAAATGTTAGGTAGAAAAAGAAGGAACCCGCTAAAATAAAGAGCAAGAGAGGAACAAAACACGAGAGGTGCCAACAACTCCTGGAGCCGAGGAAAGCGGGATTTAGCAAGGGGACGGGGCTACAATCTAAGGGTCTTTGTGAGCCAGTGCAGAGGAGGCTGACTCACCCCTCAGAGCCCAGGGCCCAGGATTTCAGAGGCTGAATGGGGTTGGGGGAAGTGGGGTATGAGCTTAGGACTGAAGTGGGTGGGCCAGAACAAGGTGCACATACAAAGCAGAGAGACTCCCAGATCCCCCAGTCATCTCAGGAGCATTTCTGCAGAGAGGGTGCTGGTGAGGCTCAGGATGCCAGAGGGAAGGTGGGGAAGGAGCTGGAGGAGAGGGTGCACAACAGGGGGCTAACTGTGCACAATGGATGGCTGCCCCCCACCATCACCCAGGTCACCCTTCCTCTGCTTCCAGACATGTCCCCCAACACTGGACAGGGCTTGTCTCTATGAGGATCCCCACACAGACAGAAGGGTGTTCTACTGTGCTGCCCACTGTGCAGCTCACCAACCAACAGGCTACCCAGCCAGGTGCTCCAACCAGGAGCCAGTGCCTCGCTTCTAGGTATCAACCAACAAAGGATCAGGCTCAGGGGAGTCTGCAACACGAGTAAGCACCAGATAGAAAAAGGGAGCTTGAGGGTACCACAGACGATAGATGGAAAGCAAGAAAGCTAAAGAACAGCCAAGCCTATAATCAAAGTGGACACTGCAAAGAACAAACAAGAACAGAATATTGTGAAAACTCTTTTGAAGAAGGAATAATGTAAACAGATTTGAAGCTAAAAATGTTATAACTAAAATTAAAACTTCAAACATAGTTGAGGAAACTTTCTAGAAGGTAAAATACAAAGTTGAAGAGATACACTATAGGAAATTTTCTTTTAAAAACTAAGAAAATGACAGAAGCAACACAACATCTAACTAACCAACAAACCAAACAGCAAACTACAAGTGGAGCCGGGGAGACCTACACAGGTGAGACTGTTCCAGCTCAGGGAATGAAGCGAAAAGACCCGCCCAGAGGCAAAACAACAGAGTCCCACCACACTGACAACCTGTGGAGAGAAGGAACAGGTCCCTATCAAGGAAGGGGAACCAGATACATCAGGCTTCTCAGTGGCAAAGGAGAAATAAAAGATAAGAGGATGATAGCCTCAAAAATTCTGAGGTGTGGCTGGGGATTTAGCTCAGTGGTTTCGCCGCCTGCCTTGCAAGCACAAGGACCCGAGTTTGATCCCCGGTATGAAAAAAAAGTTCTGAGGAATGGTAGAATTCTACATCTAAACCAACTGTCCACTAAGCATGAAAGCAAGAGGCAAGGCAAAGAAGGAGACATTTGCAGATGGAGAAAGGCTTAAAGAGTTTACCTCCAGGGGCCCTTTCTTAGGAAGCTACTAGAGAAGCATCAGCAAAACTGGGTACTAAGTGGGTGAGGAGGAAGCCATCAACTCTGGAAGCAGCCCAGGAGTATGAGATGACTCGTCCGGGCCTCCCTGGGAGAAGAGAAGGTCCTGGCCCACCATGGGATATGGGTCTGAGATGATCCTGACCTGCAATCAAGCACTTAGAATAAACGGGCAGGCAGGGGACTAAAGTGTTGGAGCTTTCATAGAAAATGTGAAAATAATGGGTATAAACCTACTTTAAAAAATTAGGGCCAGGGATTTAGCTCAGTGGTTCTGCTGCCTGCCCCTGCAAGCACAAGGACCCGAGTTTGATCCCTGGTACCGAAAACAAAATAATTTATTAATCAATTTAAAAATTAAAAAGAAACTTTCAAAAGGATAATTTAAAAATCATAGGCACCTGGACAACTAAGTCTATGAAACAATTTTGATTAATTTAAGAAAAAAATAGAAGGTGGTGCCAAAAAAGGAAATATAGTTCACATACATTACAGTGATTACATTGTCACAGTACATAAAACACTGACCACTAATTTACAAAAATAATCTGTGCTACTGCCTCATGGGCAGGGTTATAAAAGGATAAAATGCCTACAATAGCTATGCAAATCAGGAACTAAGCAGTCTAGACAGGCACGGTGGTCCACAGCTGTAATTCTGGCACTTGGGAAGCTGAGGCAGGAGGATTGTAAGCTGAAGGCCACCCTGGGCTACCCAATGAGACCCTGTCTCAAAAAAAAGGAAAAGAAAGGAAGAAGTAGCATAATGACATTACTTAAAAATACAGAGATAAAGAAGCAGAGAGGAGAAACTCTAAGAACTGAAAGCAATGCCTATAGGAAGTGGGAATGGGGGATGGCAAGCAAGACTGTTATCTTTTCTCATAAGCCTTTGGGTGCTGATTTTTTAACTGTATGTACATACACATTGCTTTGTTAAAATAAATGCCAATTTTACTACTAAAAGTGAGAGAGCTGAGGAAATGGTTGTGTGTAGAAGACAGAATGAGATGCATGATTCCTTTCACA